CACACACACACACACACACACACACACACACACACACACACACGAGTTCAGTATTTCCTGGTTATCTCTACGCTTATTGCCTGAAAGGCTGAAGAGGCGGGTGTATGAGAGGTGCCCTATGTTCCCTTCCAAACATTCCAGATTCTGTGCTACTCTTCCTTGGTGGATGCTGGAGAATCAACTGGCCATCCTCAGGTTTCCAATCAGTTGCTTAGAAGACCAGCCAGGGTCTACGAAGCTCCAGGTAAGTCCCAGCGTCTTTCTCAGGAGCCATTTATTTGACCTTAGTTCTGATCTGAGAGTCTCCACCTTTTCCAAATCACCAAGGTGGTCGAAAAGGCCCTGCGGTTGAGAAATTTTTCCTTTGTTGGAGAATCTCGGCCCCAGACCCCGCATTTGGGCGTGTAGCATCTTTAGGCCCATGGCTTATGCCCCGACTGCGCTTTTCAAGTTCAAAGCCGGGACTCGGTTCTCCAGATCTGGCGGGTGTGGTTCAGACTGCACGTTTCGCTCAACGCACCCAAGAACATGTTTTGGACTCCCGCGGCGAGGGGCGGTGGGAGAGGGTATGGGTTTGCATCGGGACAGGGCGCGCATCCGCACACACTCTCCAAACCTGGGCGTGGTCGCCCTGAGCACGAGGTCCCGAGCCGAGTCCCGCGCTCCTCTAGGAGCCCGCGAGCGCCCCCCTTCCCCCGCCGGCGCTCAGGCAGGGGCCGCCGGGATCCTACCCCTTGGCGCGCACCCCTGACCCGCCCCGCCCCGCGGCGGCCACGAGGGGCGGGCGGAGCGCTAGGAGAGAGGCGCGTTGGGCTGTGCGGCGCCGCCTCTCCTCCTTGCCGGGGGAGGGACGGAGGGGCAGGGCGGGAGAGAAAGAAAGCCCGACTGACCGGCTGGCCAAGAGCTGCATGCAACCGGTGGGAGGCCGGGCCGGCTGGGGCTGGGGCTTGGGCTCGGGCCGTTTCTCGGCGGGTCCCTGGCGGCGAGCGCGGACGGCCCGGAGGCGGCGGCTCTGAGCTGGCAGGCGGAGGGTTGTCTCCCGCGCCCGCCTGCCGGGCTCGGTCCGAGGATGCGGGGGGGCGATGCCCGGGGCCAGGGACGCGCTCTGTCACCAGGCGCTGCAGCTGCTGGCCGAGCTCTGTGCCCGCGGGGCCCTGGAGCACGACAGCTGCCAGGATTTCATCTACCACCTGCGGGACCGCGCCAGACCCCGGCTCCGAGACCCAGGTGAGTATCGCCGCCGCTGCCGGGCGCGACCGGAGGGCCCCGGGCTGGGAGTTGGGGCCGCACCGGGCCCTGAGGCAGGAGAACGACACGGACTGGAGGGAGGAGGGCGGGTGACCACCGAGCTAGGGGAGGGCACCAGGAACTAGCGCACGGTGGCCTGATGCTGAACCCGGGCAGGGACCCCGGCGGAGGCTGCTGCATGGAGGCCGGCACCGGTTGGGCTGGCGCGGGGTTGGAGGCACCACGCCCGTCACCTGCGCTTCTGTCACCGGGGCTCCTGGGGGCGGCTCCCGAGCTCCGAGCTCCACTTCCCGGGCTCTGCGCTCCGGGCGAGGAGAGGCCGCGGCGCTCTCGCGAGCCATGGGAAGGGGGACGAGGCCAGAGGAAACTCTGGGAAGTTGGGAGTTGGGGACGGCCCCGGGCTGCGGTTGAATCCCACCGGGCGCTCCCCATCCTCTTCCCGGCTTGCCCATTTCCTGTCCTTGGTCTGGGGTGAGAAGGGCGGGGCGGGAGCCGACGTTGGGCCGGGGACTGAGAGCTCCGGGTCCTGGACAGCCGGGCCTGAACCCGTTCCCCCCGGGTCTCTCGGCGTGGAGGCGGCCTGGGCCTGGGCTCCCGGCTCAACCAGATTCCGCCACCGGGCACACGAAGGTCAATGGGCTCACGGGTCATGGCTTGTGCACCTACAGTTATTCCTAGTGAAAGTTTCGAAGCTCCTAACTTTGGAAAGTTCATTTATTTTGGCCTTTGACCAGTTAAGGTAGGAAGAGGGAGTTTTAGAGGAGCCCTTTGCCTTCCCCGAGGGTCTTGGGTCTCCCACATCTTCTCATCCACTGCTGGTTACTGAAAGACACATTCCTTCCAAATGTTTACTTGAGATTCTTCTCACCATGAGGAATCATTTTCTCGAATAGTCTCTCAACCTGAGTACTAAAAAAAAAGCATATTGTGGTTGGATTGTTAAAGATGGGGTAAGAAAAGGGCCCTTCCCCTGATATTCCTGTGTGTAAATATTGGAAATGAGCTGTTGGTGTGCAAAGTATCCAGTATGAATGTACCTCATTTTAAGCCAATCCATTATATAAAAATTCATTTACCCAAGGATAAATTAGAGAATTATTTGATTCATAAAGAGGTATACACTGAGCCTGACTTCAATAGCATTTCCTTGATAGTATATCCAAAATGGGTCTGTGGGGTGAAGAGAAGTCATCTAATAAAAGTTTATATCAGATTTTCCCCACTCAAAGGCGTTTTTTTGGTAAAAGAAAGATTATTGCTCCGCATTGCCTGTGGTTACATTAATTAAGTTTATGGGATGATCACTAATGTGTTACTTCAAAGTGGAGAATTAAGTCAAGAAATATTGTTGATTTCAAATGATTTCCCCGGAGGTTTAATGCCCAGCCTTTGTGCGCCTCCTTGCTGGACTGATGTGCTGCACAGACTGCAGACAGGAATAACAGCACTTCGTTCATGAACTGGGGGCCCAGGATGGTGTCCTCACTGGGGAAAGTTCTGTCCTTAAGCAGCAGGAACAAGAAATAATTTAGCTTGCTTCACCCGAAGGAAGTGTTAGTGTTGAAACGTGCCGCTTCTTTGCCTGTTGACTGTGCCAGGAGTTCCCACTGTTACCGCACATGAGCGGTCCTCTTTGGCTTTACAAGAGAAGATGGATGAGGCCTCTCGCCAAGTTGCATGTTTAACACTCCACAGTTGGCTGATTTTGTGCCTCTGCTCCTCTTAATCTTCGAGCTAGATCCCATGTTCTAAAGGTTTCCTCAGCCCCTGCACTGGGAAGCCCCTGAGGAAGAATCACAGAGAAGACTCCTTACAAAAGACACATCTGATTCCTTGACTGAGAAATAGCCGCAGATACAGAGTGTGCCGTGCTGCTCTCTGAGTTCCTGAAAGGAAGTAGCCTGTTCACGAGGCAGGCGTGGGGAGGGGGACCGTGAGTGCAAGGTCAGAGGAACTGAGGCTGAAGCCCACATCCACATACCCTCTCTTCCAGGGCAGTGAGACTCAGGCCAGCATCTCTCTTCATCTCCCTCCTTCCTCTCCTTGCCCACATTAACTCTTACATCAGATGCATTTGTCTGCATCCCTGTAAAGCTGATTGGTTGCCCAAGCCAAGAGTGCCTTTAACTTCCGAGCCCTAAAAGCTGAGTGGTTGGAGTAGCTGCACTGCCCAAAGCTGTGAATGGCGCTGCTGCTGCAGTGTAGTGGGACCCGGCACAACCATGCCTAGCAGCAGCCCTAGCATGTGGGTCCCTAGAGAGTCGTCTCTGTAAATGCATGACTTCCTTTTCTGTAAAGGAACCCACATGAATGCCATGTTTCAGCTTTTTCTGCCCATTGTTCATCCCTGGCTACCCAGTGGTAGCTAGGTTTTCTCAAGCTCAGCTGAGGAACTTTGGTTTTGAAAGGAGAAACCAGATATAATTCCCTGTGGACAGCAGAGTGATACCACATCTAGGATGTTTGTTCATTTTTTCAGTGGTGGGATAAGCCTGGGTCACAAATCAGTGGGCCATCAGAAAGGTTATTCTTTGCCCAGGTAGTTGCAGTGCTCTGATGTAGGAGTACAGTCCTTAGTCTTCCCTAACTTGGTATTGAGAGAGAATTTGATGAGGCTAAGTCATAAATTGGAACTGGAATACCTCACCCAGTCCTTCATCTGTACCAACTATGGAAAGTAAAATGTGGATCTTTAAGCTGAGGGTGAGCACTTTTCCACAGAGAACAATTAGAATCCTTCTGTTAGGTGTCATTATGTTGTTTCGTATATTGGCAATGTCCGGCATAAACTCGTGAATCTCAGCGAATGGCCTTCACAGCAGAGGGAAGAGCAAGTGCAAAGGTCAGGAGATAGGAGCGTCCTTGATGTGATGCAAGGAATAGTTGAGTTCCAGGGTGACTGGTGCAGAGTGAATAAGATAGAGAATGACAAGAAATACGGTTAACGGTTGGAGGGGGAAGATCATGTATGGCCTTCTAAACCATTATAAGGACTTTGGTTTTTATTCTGAACGAGAAGGGTTTTAACAGAGAAGCGGCAACTCTCTGGCTGCTGTGTTGAGAAAATGCTGTTGAAGTTCAAGAGTAAAGACAGGGAATCTTGTTAGCAGGTTTACTCTAGTAACCCAGACAAAGGGGATAGTGGACATCAGTCTGAAGATACAGCACTAGGATTTGTTGATGGAATGGAGGTGAGTGGTGAGAGAAGAGGAGTTAAGGGTGACCCCAAGGCTTTTTTTTTTTTTTTTTTTTTTTTACGGTACGCGGGCCTCTCACTGTTGTGGCCTCTCCTGTTGCGGAGCACAGGCTCCAGGCGCACAGGCTCAGCGGCCACGGCTCACGGGCCCAGCCGTTCCGCAGCATGTGGGATCTTCCCGGACCAGGGCACGAACCCGTGTCCCCTGCATCAGCAGGCGGACTCTCAACCACTGCGCCACCAGGGAAGCCCCCCAAGGCTTTTTGACCTAAGCAACTCCATTTACTGCGTAGGGTAAGACTTAAGGAGGAGCAGAGTTGGAGTGGGGAGGAAAATAAGGAAGTTTTTGTTTTATTGAAAATTTTTTTGTTTTATTAAAGATTTTTTTTTGTGTGTACATATTAGATGTGCGATGTCTCTAAGTTCAACAGGGACCTGAAGTATGGGAGTCTTCTTTAACGTTATCAACTGGTCAATGCTCATACTTTGTAACTGGGGACTTCACTCTCTCTCCTCAAGAGGGCCAGTTGATTGTAGGACAGCAGTTATTAAAAGGTCTTTCCTTGCGTGGAATGAAAAGCTCAATTTAACTTCTACTTGTTGATCTCGATTATACTTCTTGCAGTCAAAAAAGAATTCGTCTCTTCTCCATTTGGCTATTAGGGGGTAGCGATTGTAACTTTTCCCATCCTTTTGTTTCCACATCTGGAAAAGAAAAGAAGATTGGATCGAATGATTTCTAGGTTTCAACCATGTTTTATTATTTTCCTTGTAAGTCTTTTCTTCTGAAGGGTGCCAACTACATCTGTGCCAAGCACTTTATGTAGGTTGTTTCCTTTAATCCTCTTAACATCTTCTAAGACCTCGCTGCTCAAAGTGCTCGACTGTGTGCCAGACCTACCAATGTGAATCTGTGTCTTAACAGGATCCTCAGGTGATTCACAGGCACATTAACGTTTGAGAAGCATTGCCAAAAGAGATTGGTATATCTGAATAAATTGAAGTGCAGAGGGCTAAACTAGCCCAAGGCCCTGGGTTCCATTTAAGAGAAAGAGTTGAGCCTAAGTCAAAGTAGCTGCTAGGTAAACACATCACATATACTAAGGATCTAGGAGTTGTTGTCAATGAAAATTTCCTAGATTTTTTTTTCATTTAGATGTCCTCTCTCTGTTCTGTTTTTGTATCATGGATTTAATCTCTAAGTGTAGGTTAAATTCTATGCAGTTATACAGATTTTGCTCCATATTTTTATTTTTACTTTTTAAAATTGAAGTATCGTTGATTTACAATGTTGTGTTCGTTTTAGATGTACAGCAAAGTGATTTAGTTTTATACACACACACACACACCAATATAGTCTTTTTCAGATTATTTTCCATTCTAGGTTATTACAAGATACTGAATATAGTTCCCTGTGCTATACAGTAGGTCCCTGTGTTTGTCTATCTTTATATATAATAGTGTATATCTGTTAATCCCAAACTCCTAATTTATTCCTCCCTCTTTGGTTACCATAAATTTGTTTTCTATGTCTGTGTCTGTGAGTCTATTTCTGTTTCATAAATAAATTCATTTTATCTTTTTAAAAAATCCCACATAGAAGTGATATTATATGATACTTGTCTTTCTCTTTCTGACTTACTTCAGTTAGTATAATATTCTCTAGGTCCATCCATGTTGCTGCAAAAGGCATTATTTCATTCTCTTTTATGAATGAGTGGTATTCCACTATATATATATATATAAAATATATCACATCTTCTTTATCTGTCGATGGATATTG